CCCGAATTCTGAGCCCATCCCAAAATCTCAGCTTCGAAATCCCAAATTTTTATGGGATCAGAGGGGACCTGAGAGGGTTTTTCCTCCTCTTTCACCCCCCTGAGGTCGGAATAAATAAATAAATTCATTATTTATTTTAATTTTTTATGGCATTTCCATAAAAACGTCCCCACAGGAATTCGGGACCTACCTTAGGGCCTGGGGGGCCTCGGTCACCTCTCAGACCGTCCTTCCCGGGATTTCCCTAAAAAACAGCGGGAATGGGTGAATTCCCATCGAAAATTCCCATTTTTCATGATCGATTTTCATGCTGATCCCAAATTTATTTCCCCTTTTCCAGTGGGACCAATGGACCCTTTCCACTGTCTCCCAAATTCCAATTTTTAGTTAATTTTTTTATAATTTTATAATTTTATAATTCTATAATTTTATGATTTTATAGTTTTATAATTTTATAAATTTTGGATTAAATTTGGATTAATTCCACTCTTCACTTGAAATTCATCCTATTCCCTCTAAAATTCCCATTTCCCGTGCCTTGATCCCAAATCCCAAATCCCAAATTCCCCTTTTCCAGAGGCACCAACCAACCCTTTTTTGAATTACCTAAATTCCCATTTTTAGGTTATTTTTTTATAATTTTATAATTTTATAATGTTATAATTTTATAAATTTTGGAATAAATTTGGATTAATTCCACTCTTCGCTTGAAATTCATCCTATTCCCTCTAAAATTCCCATTTCCCGTGCCTTGATCCCAAATCCCAAATCCCAAATTCCCCTTTTCCAGAAGGACCAACCGAGCCTTTGTAATGTCTCCCAAATTCCCATTTTTAGGTTATGTTTTATAATTTTATAATTCTAAAATTTTATAAATTTTGAATTAATTTGAATTAATTCCACTCTTCACTTGAAATTCATCCTATTCCATCTAAAATTCCCATTTCCCGTGTGCTGATCCCAAATTTATTTCCCCTTTTTCCAGTGGGACCAATGGACCCTTTCCGATGTCTCCCAAATTCCAATTTTTAGGTTATTTTTTTTATAATTTTATAATTTTATAAATTTCGGATTAAATTTGGATTAATTCCACTCTTCACTTGAAACTATTTCTATTCCCTCTAAAATTCCCATTTCCCATGTGCTGATCCCAAATTTATTTCCCCTTTTTCCAGTGGGACCAATGGACCCTTTCCGATGTCTCCCAAATTCCAATTTTTAGGTTATTTTTTATAATTTTATAATTCTATAATTTTATAATTCTATAATTTTATAATTTTATAAATTTTAGGTTAGATTTGGATTAATTCCACTCTTTGCTTGAAATTCGTCCTATTCGCTCTAAAATTCCCATTTCCCGTGTGTCGATCCCAAATCCCAAATTCCCCTTTTTCAAGTTGCCCAAATTCCCATTTTTAGGTTATTTTTTTTAAATTTTATAATTGTATAAATTTTGGGTTAAATTTGGGGAAATTCCACTCTTTGTTTGAAACTCATGCTATTCCCTCTAAAATTCCCATTTCCCATGCGCTGATCCCAAATTTATTTCCCCTTTTCCAGAGAGACCAATGGACCCTTTCTGATGTCTCCAAAATTCCAATTTTTAGGTTATTTTTTGTAATTTTATAATTTTATAATTTCATAATTTTATAAATTTTGGGTTAAATTTGGATTAATTTTGCTCTTTACGTGAAACTCATTCTATTCCCTCTAAAATTCCCAAATCCCAAATCCCAAATTCTGCTTTTCCAGAGGGACCATTATTTAAATCCCATTTAAATAAATATTAAAATAAAAAAAATGAGAAAATAAAAAAAAATTGTAAATTTAATTCTGAATAAATAATAAAAATCAATAAAATTAAAAATAATAAATAAAGTTAGAAATAAATAACAAAACAACAAGTGAAGAAAATTAAAAATCATAGATTTGATAAGAAATAAATAATAAAATAAGAAATCAATAAAATACAAAAGAATTAATTAGAAAGAAGCCATAAAATAATAAAAATAATAAATTTATGTATAGATAAATAATTTAAAGGAAACAAATAAGTAATAAATTTAATAAGAGGTGAACAAGAAAATAATGAAACAAATATAATAAAGTAATAAATAAAACTAAAAATTCCACTCAATAAAAAATTAATTAATAAATAGATATAAAGAAAAATAATAAAGAACCATTAAAAAAGAAAATAAATAAATAATAAATTTAATAATACGTGAACAAGTGACAAAAAATAATTAAGAAAGAAAAATAAAAATCGAATATAATAATTACAATTAATTAAATAATTAAATAAATAAATAAATAAATAAATAAATAAATAAATAAATAACACAATAATTAAATTATTAAAATAGAAATCCCACTTCCTCCCAGTTCCTCACGTCTTTCCCAGATTTTCCCGGATCCCCTTTGGTTCCCGGGAGCCCCGGAGGACCCTGCAGGAAAAAAATTGAAATTAAAAAAAAAAAATCACAAAAGAAAAATTTAAAAATTCATTATTTATTCTCTTTATTATAATTTAATATTGAATTMTTTATTTTCTTTATTTTTATTATATTTTAACAATAAACTCATGATTTATTTTAATTCTTATTATAATTTAATAATAAATTCAATATTTATTTTATTATTTTATCATGATTAAATATTGAATTAATTATTTTTAATATGATTTAATAGTAAATTAATTATTTTTTAATTTCTTTATTATTTTATTATTTGTTATCAAGAGGAAACCAGGATGGAGAAGGGAACCAGAGCAGCCCCAGCACTGTCCAGGGCAGGAAATTATAAAAATAATAATAATTATATAAATTAATAATTAATAATTAATAATTAATAATTAATAATTAATAATTAATAATTAATATATTAATATATTAATATATTATTCATGATAGAAAAATTGGAATTTTTACCCGGATTCCTCTCACTCCCGGCTCTCCTGGGGCTCCAACTTCTCCCTGAAAAAAAAAAAAAAAAGAGGAGAGGTTTTAAAAATTCCCAAAAATTCTATGAGATTTGGGAATTTTGTGGCACTGAAAATGGGAAAAAAAAGTTGGGAATGGGAAAAAATGAGGGGAATTTTATTGCCATAAAAATGGGAATAAAAGGGAGAAAATGGGAAAAAATGAGGGGAATTTTATGGCATTAAAAATGGGAGAAAAAGGTTGAAAAGGGAAAAACTGAGGGGAATTTTATGGCAATAAAATTGGGAATAAAAGGAAGAAAAAGGAAAAAAATGAGGGGAGTTTTATTGCCATAAAAATGGGAGAAAAATGTTGAAAAAGGGAAAAAATGAGGGGAATTTTATTGCCATAAAAATGGGAATAAAGGGGTGAAAAGGGGAAAAATGAGGGGAATTTTATGGCATTAAAATTGGGAGAAAAAGATTTAAAAAGGGGAAAAAATGAGGGGAGTTTTATGGCATTAAAATTGGGAGAAGAAAGGGTGAAAAGGAAAAAAGGGGAAAAAATGAGGGAATTTTATTGCCATAAAAATGGGAAAAAAAGGGAGAAAATGGGAAAAAATGAGGGGAATTTTAATGACATAAAAATGGGAATAAAAGGGTGAAAAAGGGAAAAAATGAGGGAAATTTTATTGCCATAAAAATGGGAGGAAAAGGTTGAAAAAGGGGGAAAATGGGGAAAAAAGAGGGGGGAATTTTATGGCACAAAAATTGGGATTAAAAGGTTTAAAAAGGGAGAACTGAGGGGAATTTTATGGCACTAAAAACGGGAAAAAAAGGTTGAAAAGGGCAAAAAATGAGGGAAATTTTATTGCCATGAAACCGGTAGAAAAAGATTTTAAAAGGGAAAAAAAGAGGGGAATTTTATAGCACTAAATTTGGATTAAAAGGTTTAAAAAGGGAAAAAAACGGAGGGGAATTTGATTACCATAAAAATGGGAATAATATTAATTATTAATAATAATTGTTAATTCTTAACTGATTATTAATAATAATTAATTCCTGCCTGAGGAATGCCCACAGTCAGAAGGAATCACCGCAAGTGGGATTTTTCCAGAATTTTTCCCAGAAAATTCCGGGATTTTTCTGGGTTTGGAACATTTCCTGGGAAAAAAATCCCAAAACCGGGAATTTTTTTATGGCCTGGATGGAGATTTTTGGAAGGAACCTCCCAATGTCAGGCCTGGCCTCGGAAATTCCCAGGAATTTTTTGGGAATTCCGTCCCGGGGGGTGAAGATTTTGTTGGACTCACCTTCGGACCCGGCTTTCCCGACAATCCCACGTTTCCCTGCGGGAATATGGAATGAGGGAGACGGTGAGAAAATTCCAGGGAAAAACGGGAAAGAGGGAAAACTGGGAATGTCCCAAAAGGGGGGGGGATCCGAGGTGAGAAAATTCCAGGGAAAATGGAGAGGAAAACCGGGAATGTCCCAAAAGGGGGGCTCTGAGGTGAGAAAATTCCAGGGAAAATGGAGAGGAAAACTGGGAATGTCCCAAAAAGGGGCGGCTCTGAGAGTGACCAGGTGAGAAAATTCCAGGGAAAAACAAATGGGAAAATCGGGAATGTCCCAAAAAGGGGGGGCTCCGAGGTGAGAAAATTCCAGGGAAAACTGAAGGGGAAAAGTGGGAATGTCCCAAAAGGATCAGCTCCGAGCATGACCCAGGTGAGACAATTCCAGGGAAAATCAAAGGGGAAAATTGGGAATGTCCCAAAAGGAACAGCTTTGAGCATGACCCAGGTGAGAAAATTCCAGGGAAAACTGAAGGGGAAAAGTGGGAATGTCCCAAGAGAAGCAGCTCTGAGCACAACGCAGGTGAGACAATTCCAGGTGAGAAAATTCCAGGGAAAATCGAAGAAAGGGAAAACCAGGAATGTCTCAAAAGGAGCGGCTCTGAGAGTGACCAGGTGAGACAATTCCAGGTGTGACAATTCCCTGGAAAACCGGAAAAAGGGGAAAACCAGGAATATCCCAGAAGGATCAGCTCCGAGCATAACACAAGTGAGACAACTCTAGGGAAAAATGGAGAGGAAAACTGGGAATGTCCCAAAAGGAGCGGCTCCAAGTGTGACTCAGGTGAGACAATTCCAGGGAAAAACAGAGAAAAGGAAAACTGGGAATGTCCCAAAAAAGGAGCAGCTCCGAGCGCGACCCAGGTGAGAAAATTCCAGGGAAAACCAGAAAAAGGCAAAACTGGGAATGTCCCAAAAGGAGACGCTCTGAGAGCAACGCAGGTGAGACAATTCCAGGGAAAACCGGGAATGTCCCAAAAGGAGCGAGTCCGGGGATTGTTATGGGATAAGAAATTTTATGGATTAAGGATCGTTATGGGATTGGGATTGTTATGGGATAAAAAGTTTTACGTGATAAGGAGTTTTATGGGATAAGGATTGTTATGAGACAAAAATTGTTATGGGATAGGGATTGTTACGGGATAAGGATTGTTATGGGATAACAGTTGTTATGGGATATGGATTGTTATTGGATAAGGATTGTTATGGGATAAGGATTATTATGGGATAAGAAGTTTTATGGGATCAGGATTTTTACAGGATCAGAAGTTTTACGGTGCCCACCACCGAGGTTTCCCCTCAAACCCAATCCAATCCWGGAATTCCCACAGAATTCCCAGTTGAGCGCTGACCCCTCGACTTTTCCCATAGGAATTCTCCCCATTTTGGGGCAGAGCCCCTGACCCCACACCCCAAACCCCATGGGGTCCCCGTTCCTCGTCACCCCTGGGGTTCATCCCATTTGCTCAGACACAAAAGTCCCGAAGATGAAGCTCAAGTTGACTTTTGGGATGGGAAAAATTGGAAATGGGATTTCCTTGGCTCCTGTTGGCCAAGATTGTTATGGGATAAGAATTGTTATGGGATAGGAAGTTTTATGGGATAAGGCTTGTTAGTAAGGATTGTTATGGGTTAAGAAGTTCTATGAGATAAAAATTGTAACGGGATAGGGATTGTAATGGGATAAGGATTGTTATGGGATGAGAATTGTTATGGGATAAGAAGCTTTATGGGATCAGGATTGTTATGGGATAAAGATTTTTATGGGATCAGGATTGTTATGGGATAAGGATTGTTTTGGGATAAGAAATTTAATGGGATAAGGATTTTTATGGGATAAGAAATTTAATGGGATAAGGGTTGTTATGGGATCAGAATTGTTATGGGATAAGAAATTTAATGAGATAAGGATTGTTATGGGATGAGGATTGTTATGGGATAAGGATTGTTACAGGATAAGGATTGTTATGGGATAAGATATGTTTTATGGGATCAGGATTTTTACGGGATCAGAAGTTTTACGGGATCGGGATTTTTATAGGATCAGAAGTTTTACGGTGCCCACCACCAAGATTTCCCCTCAAACCCAATCCCAAAATTGGATTCTCAGCATTCCCAGTTGAGCGCTGACCCCTCAACCTTTTCCATAGGAATTCTCCGTATTTTGGGGCAGATCCCCTGACCCCAAAACCCCAAACCCCACGGGGTCCCCGTTCCTCGTCACCCCTGGGGTTGATCCCATTTCTGACCCCAAACCCCGTTGGTCCTGAATTGTCCCCGTCCCACCCCATTGTCCCACTCACCCGGTCACCGGTGTCTCCCTTCAGCCCCGGCTGCCCCGGAATCCCAAATCCTGGAATTCCCTGGAAAAAAAACACCAAAGGGATTTAGGATCTGGCCAAGCTCAGCCTTTCCAACCTCAGGATGAATCTCTGCGGAGCGGATCCGAGGAATTTTCAGCTCTGAGGAATTTCCACCTCCACAGAGCAGATTGGAGGAATTTCCGAGGTCCAAAGAATTTCTACCTCCATGGAGCAGATCCGAGGAATTGTCATCTCAACAGAGAAGTTCCAAGGAATTTCCATCTCCATGGAACAGATCCGAGGAATTTCCAGCTCCACGGAGCTGATCCAAGGAATTTCCAAGATCCGAGGAATTTCCATCTCAATGGAGTCGATCAGGGAATTTCCATCTCCACAGAGAAGTTCCAAGGAATTTCCATCTCCACGGAGCAGATCCGAAGAATTTCCATCTCCATGGAGCAGATCCGAGGAATTTCCAAGATCCGAGGAATTTCCAAGATCCGAGGAATTTCCAAGATCCGAGGAATTTCCATCTCTGCGGAGCAGATCCGAGGAATTTCCATCTCCATGGAGCAGATCTGAGGAATTTCCAAGATCAGAGGAATTTCCAACTCCACGGAGCAGATTGGAGGAATTTCCATCCCTGTGGAGCAGATCCGAGGAATTTCCATCTCTGTGGAGCAAATCTGAGGAATTTCCAAGATCTGAGGAATTTCCATCTCCAAGGAGCAGATTGGAGGAATTTCCATCTCCGCGGCGCAGTTCCGAGGAATTTTCATCTCCACAGAGAAGCTCCAAGGAATTTCCATCTCCGTGGAGCAAATCTGAGGAATTTGCATCCCCACGGAGCAGATCCAAGGAATTTCCAAGATCTGAGGAATTTCCACCTCCCCTGAGCAGATCCCAGGAATTTCCGTCTCCATGGAGCAGATCCGAGGAATTTCCACCTCCACGGAGCACATCCGAGGAATTTCCAATGTACGAAAAATTTCCATCTCCGCGGAGAAGATCTGAGGAATTTCCATCTCCATGGAGCAGATCCGAGGAATTTCAATCTCCACGGAGCAGATCTGAGGAATTTCTAAGATCCCAGGAATTTCCATCTCCGCAGAGCAGATCCGAGGAATTTCCAAGATCTGAGGAATTTCCATCTCCGCAGAGCAGATCTGAGGAATTTCCATCCCTGTGGAGCAGATCCGAGGAATTTCCATCTCCGCGGAGCAGATCCGAGGAATTTCCATCTCCGTGGAGCAGATCCGAGGAATTTCCATCTCCGCGGAGCAGATCCGAGGAATTTCCATCTCAGTGGAGTAGATACAAGGAATTTCCATCTTCACAGAGAAGTTCCAAGGAATTTCCATCTCCACAGAGCAGATCTCAGGAATTTCCAAGATCTGAGGAATTTCCATCTCGTGGAGCAGATCCAAGGAACTCCAATCTCCATGGAACAGATTGGAGGAATTTCCATCCCTGCTGAGCAGATCCGAGGAATTTCCATCTCCACGGAATTTACATCTCTGTGGAGCCGATTGGAGGAAATTCCGTCTCCTCGGAGCAAATCTGAGGAATTTCCGTCTCCATGGAGCAGATCTGAGGAATTTCCAAGATCTGAGGAATTTCCAACCCCACAGAGCAGATCGGAGGAATTTCCACCTCCATGGAGAAGTTCCAAGGAATTTCCACCTCCACGGAGCAGATCCAAGGAATTTCCACCTCCATGGAATTTCCATCTCCACAGAGCTGATCCAAGGAATTTTCATCTCCACAGAGAAGTTCCAAGGAATTTCCACCTCCGTGGAGCAGATCCGAGGAATTTCCATCTCCGCGGAGCAGATACGAGGAATTTCCAAGATCCGAGGAATTTCCATCTCCACAGAGCAAATCCGAGGAATTTCCATCTACCCCGGAGTTTCCTCGGTGGCCCCAAAAACCCCAAATCCTTCCGTCCCCGAAGGACGTGCGAGTTCCTCACCTTTTCCCCTTTTTCTCCCGGGATTCCTCGCGGTCCCGCCGGTCCGGGATCTCCCTGGGAATAAAAGGAACCCCTGGAATATTCCAGAATTTTTCCCTTTGGATAAACCTTGGGAAAAAAAATTCCCTTTGGAAAATCCAATAAATCCTACAATCCATTGAAAAAATCCTATAATCCATCCAATAAATCCTATAATCCATCCAATAAATCCTATAAACCATCCGATAAATCCTATTATCCATCCAATAAATCCTATAATAAATTCCTTCCATAATCTTATGTAAATCCCTTACAAATCCAGCTTGGGTTATTATTGATTAGCAGTGCTAATTATTTAATCGATTAATTAATTAATCAATGAAATCCATCTTGGATTTATAAGGAATCTCAGCTTTTCAAAAAGTGCTAACTAATTAATAAATTAATAAATTAATAAATTAATAAATTAATAAATTAATAAATCAAGAACATAATAAAATTAATAAATTAATAAATTGATAGATTAATAAATTAATAAAATTAATAAAACAATAAAATAATAATAAATTAATAAATTAACAGACTTACCTTGGCACCTTTCATGCCTGGAGGTCCCAAAACCTGAAGAGGAGAAGAAATCACAGAAATCCTCCGTTATTTGTAGAAAAAAAAAAATTCAAAAAATTGAATTTTTATGGAATCTTTTCCAAAGCGAGGAATATTATGGGATAAGGACTGTTATGG